TTAACATCATATTCAGGGAACAGCAATTAACAGATGCTGGTGCTGATTGCACGGGACATGTGAGACATCTTTTCCCTTCCCAGGAAGCTACCATGACTTTTGGGGTCTTTTATTAACAGTGAGGGATTCACACGGGCTAGAAATCTTGCAGAGTTAGAAGGAAAAACTGTGAAGAGGGATTATTTTATTCACATTTATAATAATCTGAAATAATAAATTTACTGCAACTGAAAAGGTATCGGCAAAAATCAAACCTCACTCTGCAAGCTTTGAAACAATGCAGTTACCAGAAAAAGAGTGTATGGATCTTGTTACACCTTACTATGTGAGATCCATAAACATTGATTGGTGTCAGTACTAGCAAAAGATTGGAACAGTCACATGTTCAGGCCAGCAAGGGCCTGAAAGACTAAAATATAAGAATCCCTCCCCCTCTTCTAGGCTTCACCCCTGCCCCTGGGGCTCACCCAGTTCCCCCCATAGGACATTACTTAGTTGTGGCTGCCTGTACTGTCCCCCCCAAGGGAGCAGGCAGGGAAGGGTTAACCTGCTTGCCCAGCCTCTGCTGTTGCCAGGCTAGTATACTTCTGGCCCAGAGAACAACAGAAGCAATGGAGGGGGTCAGGTATGCAGGTTTACCCTTTCCTATCTGGTTCATGGGACAGACTGGGGGCTGGGTGGTAATGGACCCAGAGCAGAGGCCAGGCGGGGGCTCCTGGCAGCTAGAGGTGCTATGGGACCTGCTCCCAGGCCCAGGCAGGGGCCTGCTGCTGGGCAATAGGCAGCTGCCAGGGAGAGTACAGGGCTAGGGTCGGTGGCTGGACAGTGGCAATTGCCAAGGACAGAGGCAAGTGCCAGGGTCAGAATGGTGTCCAGCACCCAGAGGTCATCATCTGTAGCCTACATTCCCTGACCCAGGGTGGTCAGGGAATGTAGGCTATGCTGCACCTGGAGCTGCTCATCCAGAACTCCTGGTCACCAGTCCTCTGAGACTGCAACCAACCACTGAAGGAAGATGGTGCAGTCCATTGTGCACCTCTCGTGGAGTCAGCATATCCACAGTTCTCTGGCTTTCGGCCATGGTGACCCTGAGGCCACATCCCCACTACCAAGCGTGGCCTCTCCCACGTGTCCAGCTGCAGACCTTGTAGAGCCATTAGACAGAAGTTTTTTGTGAAAGTTTGCAACATTTTAGAGATAGGATGCTCTGTATCAGTGGCCATGCGCTGCCAAGTCTCAGATTGGGGATCAGCCATGCATGGGTATCCAGAGACTAAGATAAGTTAGCCAGGCCAGCCCAGGCCCAGGCAGCCACTGGCTGAGCTGCTTATTCCTGCATGCTACCCTGGGGCCAGTAAACTGCTGGCAGCTGGCCACAGACAGCCTGCTTCCCCTACCCCGTCCCCAGGGCAGGACAGGTCAGGCTTCTCGCAGCACCTGCTGCCACAGTTCCAAACCATGCTGACCCCCTTCTCCTCCTGCAGGCCAACCAATCTGCTGTGCTGTTCCCTAGCCCATGGAACCCAGGCTCGGAAGGCATGGGGCTCCCAGACAACTGGGACAAGAAGCTTCCTGTGCCCCCACCCTCCTCTCTGGAAGTCTCTCCAGGGAGGCACCCTGGGGCCCATCCCCCACTGCACCAGCGCTGTGACCTGAGTGCCCCTGCTGCACATGTCCCAGGTGGTGTGTGGTGAGGTGTTTGTGTGGACTGAGGGGTTCCCGGCCCACTACACCCTGCTACTGTTGATTCTTATGGTGCTCTGGGTGGACCTGCACTCCTGGTATGGGAGCATGATATATGATGCCATAGGGGGCAAGCCTGGGCTGCCCCACCACCTCTGCTGCTCACTGGAAGGCTATCTGTGGCTGTGCTATGTGTTCCTGACCCCCACTGCCGAGGAAGACATCACCACCACCATACATTCATTCCTTGGTATATGAGAGGCTTATACTAGCTTAGCTGTGCGGGCACAGACTGCTCAAAAAAGTTTAGCACTGTGTCCTGCCTCTGCATGCTGTGTGTGCTTGAGGAAAGGGGGTGGGGGGGAACCCAGGGTCAGGAAGTGTGGGCAGGCCAGGTGGGGAAGAGAGGCAGGGACAGGGGCTGGGGTAGGGAGAGCCCTCCCCCCACCCCGCATGGGGCTTAGCATGTGGTCAGGGCTGAAATGGCTGGTGGCTCGGCGTGGTTCTCCCTGTCAGTGACATTGTGAGGCTGTGACCAATGTCCTTAGCCCACAGTTTGTGGCATCCAGGCATCGGGTTGAAGCCACCCCACCCCCAACATGGAGGAGATGGTGCTTCTGGAAGTTGGCAGTGTTATGGCTGGCCATGCCTCATGCCTGGCCCCAGGATGCAGAGCTAGCAAAGTAGGTGCTGGACAAGGTTCCCTGAGCTGCTAGTGGGAACTTCAGCCAGGGAACTGGGTGGGATGGGCTGCTGGGCACCCAACAGGCCCTCCCCCAGTGATGTGTCACTGGGGGGCCAGGCTGGGGCAGGGATTTGGGCAGGCTGCACATCCTGGTGGCCTGAGTCCCAGGGCAGAAGAATGACATCTAGTTGCAGCATAAAAAGTACGGACTTGTGGGCAAGACTGGACCAACAATTGTGGTTAGTCACGGTTACGCACTGTGCCCACAATACCTTAACCTTTATGCAGCACTGCTGCACTCATTGGTTGTGCCCTTGCTCCTGCATCTGGCCTGACAGTACCTTATAAATATGCACATTTGCCCAGCCTCCCAGCTTAAACTGGTGCTGCACCTCTGCCTTGATCCACAGTACCATGAGGTTGCCAGTCTCTTCCTTGGTCCAGTTCAGGCCCCAGGTAGAGGGCATGGGCATGTCTGTGGACAGGGAGGAGGCCATGGTGGGTCTCGCATCAGCTCTCTGGGCCCCTGTACAGTTGTCCCTGAGCTGCTGGACCTGGACAGCTGCCTACAGTGCTCAGCACTGGGCCACGGCATAGAGCAGTCAGCCAAATGGCAGAGGCCATGCCCCACTGCACCTGCAGGCACAGGACAGGCTGCTGTGGGTATGCTGCAAAAAGGTGGCACTGACCCTGCTGGCCAGAGGCTGCCTGCAGGTGGTCCTGGGGACTGGCAGGCCTGGTCAGAGTCTGAAGCAGCCTTCAGCATCCTGCAGCACCCTGCTGGTCTGGATGGCACTCTTCTGGCAGCCATGTAGTGGGGAGGTGCTAGGCAGCAGTGCTGGGGTGCTGGCAGGTAGGCACAGCTAGGCTGTGGCCTGCCCAGGGGGACACAGGAGCCTGCAGTGCCCTCAGGATTCCTGTCTCTGTGTCCCAGGGCTCAAAATATCTGCAGCCTTTTATAGCCTGATGACAGGGGTTGCCATAGAGGCATCCCAGCCCTGGGTTAGGATAAACCTCCTAGCCTGCAGCCCTGGGGCTGGCCTCAGTCCGGCCCCTTAGTGGCTGGGCAGACCCAGGAGCAAACTCATCTGCACTATGAACTTTTGAAAATAATATTTTCTCTTTCCCATTGTTCATCTGCATAATGCATCTGTTCTTATGCATAACTGAGTTCCAGCCTATTTTCTTTAAGTAATTTTCCATCCTTTCAGATGCTCTTCTTAAAATATATAGCATTTCTATAAATGTGCATTATAAAAGACTCATCACTATTTTATATCCTAGGTTCTCCTGTATTTTAACCTTAGCACATGTAGCTGCTTCCAATAATAAAGCAAAATAATCCTTCTAGTTGTCAGCTGCTTAAAGCACTGCCAAAAGGCCTGTGTCTATCACACTTCTTCCCAGAGAATAGAATCTTTGCTCATGAATCTTCCTTTTCACAATGCCAGGGTAACAGAATTAGATCTTATGGACGCAATAATTAATGAATAACAATAGTGACACGCATTCATATTTAGCATTGGAAAGTTTAACTGTATAAGATATTTTTAAAAGGGCAGAAAGTGAGAATCATAAATTTGCAACTAGCTTGAATTATTAAATGTCAAATGAAACAGGAGTAGAGCAATGAACTATTGAATAAAATATAGTATTTTTGTATCTAGAGTTTTTATTTTTTTATTTTGTGTGATTTCACTTAAAAGAGAGAAGAAGAGAGTATTCAACTACCAGGAATATGTATAATCCAGTATTTCCAAATTCAAATACTCAAAAATCATGTGTCAGACCAACAAAATATAATGGGATTTGAAGAAAGAACAATACAGCTTATGCCTTCTGGCTTTTACAGTACTTTCGATGGCATTCTCAAACTCTTTCTGAGAAGCATGAGGGGTAGTTTGTTTGTTTTAAAAAATACATATTTAAGGTAAAGGATGAAAGAGTCAATTAGATATTTAGATGAAAGATCTAATTCTCAGGTGACTACTGGACACTTTTAATTTTCTGAGATTCACAATAGAATCATGACAGTTGGTGACACTGATAACCAAGGGTCATGTGTGGTTAGCATATTAGCCCTTAAACATGTGGCAAGAACCACCATTTTCTCCATCTAAATTGAGGGCTGAAATTGGTCAGGCATCAATGTGCACGTTCTGTGGAAGAGTACATGCAAGTGGTGAGTGAACTGCACCATTGATTATTTGAGTATGGGTAATTAGGCACTGGAAGAAACAGCTGAAACACTTTTGGGGACACCAGGAATAAGTTTCCATCCAGGGCTTCTAAGCATATAGGAAAGTAACTGCATTTTTGAAGGATTTTGAAGCACTGCAACTGGAGTAGCTTCTCAGCATGTTCAGAGCTCCACTATATTACTGTCCAGTAGGGGTGTGTAAAGTGGGCCCTATTCAATTTGGATTCAAATTTGGCCTGAATCAGGGACGGGGATTCAATTCATTGTTTAGGATCACTGTTCCTGATTTGATTCAGCCAAATCCAAATCTGAAGATTTGATGCTGAAATTAAATACCTATTGGCAGAACAATAAACATTTTTAAACCTGACTGATCTATTCATACAATTTAAGAAATACTTTAAAAGCTCAAATATATAAAAGAAATGTTACCATGCATATCCTTGTGTAGGATCATCCAGGAGTACTCGGATTATATATAACAAACAGCTTAATAACTTGAGAGAAAAATTGAACAGTCGTATTCTGAGACCTGTTTTACAGGAGAGAAAAATAATATCAGTTCATTTAGGTTTTATTCCATATTTAATATAGATAACTTAAAAGTAAGAAGTCATTCCCTCAGTCCTAGGCAGAATATTGGTGATGTCAAGTATTCAAATATTAGTATCTGGAAGCTTTTATGGGATCACTTCATATTGGAAATAGATGATACTTGATGAAATATTAAAATATGTTAATTAAATAGTGAATTTCATAATTAAGCTCTCAAAAGATAGCAAATATGAAAAATAACATAGATTATACAACTGTAACTTTACATCCTTTAGTGTGTATACATTGAGAAAGCATTGCACCATATCAAACAGAGGGTCTAAAATAATGCTATAAAATATAATGCAGTATTTTCTATGAACTTGGGCCTTACATAGTCAGCTTCTTCAAAGTAATGGGGGCTCTACATAGGTACTTAGGACTGGATCCACCACTAATTAAAATCAATGGAACTATTGACTTAATGGTCATTGAATCAGGATTTTCACTCATTCTATGACCAAGGCCTAAGATATGAGTGTGATTTTATCATTGAAGGAAGTACAGCATTAGAATTGCACTAGTGTCAACATTTGCATCTTATTTCTTTATTTAAAAAAAGGAAAAGTGTCCAGTAATTATCCTGATAATCATTACTGATAGAGGTCAACCAGAAACATCATTAGCAACTGCTAGTAACTTGTGGACTTGTAAACTGAGAGTCAAATCCTGCATTTGGATACATGCTATTGACCCCTTGTATCCAAGGAGAGCCCCACTGTCAGTTGAACACATCAAGATCTAGCATGAGGTCACTGGATAACTAGTGACTCTTATTATTGCTAACGAAGGCTCCAGCACTTCAAGCACTTGTGCATATCAGTAACTGCAAGCATATGAATAGTCCCACTGAGCTCAACAGAATTGCTTATGTCTGTGAATGTTTGCCTTATCAGGGCTTAGTTATGGATGTCCTCACCTTTGCTTTTATCAGGGCACATTTAATATATTCTAAGAGTGGAAAGTCTGTCTTTCCTGTTACTCAGACCTGAAGTTACCTAGAGTTCCACATAAACTGTGTTTTTGCAGGAAATTGTACTTTAATTCAATATGTTATAGTTATTAATTCTGAAAATTATCCTTTCTTATACCACCCTGAAAATAGTCTAATATGTAGTTACAGAAAAAAATCAGAAGTGTTTGTCCTTCAACTAAATGTTAGAATGTGCATTACAATATGTCTATTACAAAATGTGTAATGGAACACTGGTTGGTCCTTTAACTATGAAGGCTAAGTGATGAAGCCTAATAGATGTAATAAATGACAAAAGCTAAATAAACCTCACATGGTAAACTCATTGAAGGGGGTAAAAACCCCATCCTCAATTCCTAAGGAATAAGAAACCATACAGATGTTAGTAGCAATTAGAATTGTGAACATTCACCTACAGACTCCTGATGTCTTATCAAGCTCAGCTAGCAAAAAGCTTCTAATTCCCCAGAATGGGAAGAAGGACTCAGAAAAGCAACAGGAAGAAGGAATGTATCCAGAGACTGAGGATAGCACGTAGGTATATTGTTACTGAGGCCCCTGACAGATGTTACACGTAAGACATGATTAACTGGTTAATCAGGTCTTAAGTAGTGACCTAGCCACATATTAATGCAATTAGTAGGCAACCAGTGATCCTCTGGATCATGGGATACATGAAAGAGATCTAATCAGGTGTCTGATGAATCTGCTTGTATGGAGTCCTGCAAGCATCACAAAACAGCCTTTGACATATATGCCTAGGCAAGAATATGGAAGAGTGAAGGCTGCCCAAGACCTACCACCCCACCCCGCTTTAGACCATTGAGACAGAATCCAAAGGCCAGACCAAGTCCAGACGGTCAGTGTCTCAATGATTGTAGCTTCTGTCAGAAAGCAACAAATAATAACTGCTGCTGACTGTCTAATGCCTCAGTAAGCGTGTGTTTCTATCAGTGATGTCCCTTAGCCTTTCTCCAACCAGGGAATACCCACAAGGCAGTGAAGACTAGGGTTTGGAAGCACCCTATACTCACCTTATTCTAGAGGTTGCAACATTGTGGTATTTTATAGGAGTTACCCCACCACAAGTAGCTCCACCATGTTGCCACCAGGCCCTCCAGTCAAATGCAGTTTACAATCATACCTGGGGGACCAATTTATGGTGTGATAAACTGAGGAATAAGCCATAAAATTATTGCACAAAATATATGTAATAACTTAGTAGCTGGTTTCTATCATGCCTTTAAGTAAATGTGTGGCCAAGGGCTCCATGTGCTCCCTCAGCTAGGGATTCTGATCAGCTGACTGGGGTTCCTATCTGCATTGCAGCATAGGGAGCACAGGCAGCTGAGCTTGCTACTTGATGGTGCAGGGGGAGCCCAGAATCATGATTCTGGGTACTCCCTGTACCAGCAATGTGGTACAGTGGGCTCTGTTACTTGATCCCACAGTCTCGCTTCCTGCCATGCGTTAATGGCATGGCAGGAATCATGATTGTTGGGATTATGCATCAGATCTTATCTCACCTTTAATTTAACACCTGCCAGTGGCCTTAGTGGACGTGCTTCAGTGCTTTAGTCTTGACAGTACCTCTCACACCAAAGTCCTGGGAGGATTCCTCTGACAGTTTCACCTGTGGGACACAATCTGGTAGACATTCTTGAAGTATGTGCTGAGGAGGATGTGTAAGCAGGCCCTTTTCATCTGAAAACTCAGTGGTTGAACCACTCTTTGTATGAAAAGGCAGAAAATGGTTGTAATATAGCTATTTTGGAGTGTTGATAGGTATGAACCAATAACCTCTGTCTAGAGCATGTTCACTGGTACATGCTTGTGCTCAGGGCCGTCCCTAGATAGGGGCCAATCAGGGCGACTGCCCTGGGCCCTGCACTTTGGGGGGCCCCACGGAGCCAGGCAGAGTGGCGCAGCCATGCTGCACTGCCACCAGCTTCACATCCAGCTGCTCAGCACCCCTTCCCCCCACCAGCGAATCTGCCACTGAAATCAGCACATCCGGCTGCTCACCCCCGCTCTGAATCTGCCACCACCTTCCTCATGTCCAGGGGTGGGGCCCCACACAGGCTGATTTGCTCTGGGCCCCTCCCCCTGCTTGGATCATTTCTGCTTGTGCTACTCTGAAGCAACTCTTTGTGCTTATTTCTACACATTAGGTACAGGGAAAGGGGGGGGTGTCATGCTTCACTTTGGTGCTTCTTTGTATAGCTGAGAGGCAGTGTAGATATGCCTTTAAATAGTAAGGCCCAGATCCTCAAATATATGTATGTACTTTGCTTTCATTGTAATTAAAACTTATTGTGTGAAGAAAAAAACACTTCTAAATCACTAGCTAATTAATTAGTAGCCATAGGGGAGAAAGAGAAAACCTAGCAGGCCATGGTAACAAAAGAAGATTGCAAATCAAGAGAGATGATACTTTGACTATATGAAATACTTCTTAGATTCCACATTGACAAATATTTAAAATTCTAGCTTTCATACTGAAAATATGATGTTATTCCTCTCAAAAGTATTGTTTACTGTTGTTACATCAAATTTTAACTGTGGGAGAGAGGATATTTATTGATCAGTGAAACCATTCAAATCACAACTTGAAAGCTTTCTTAGGATACGCAATAGCAAAGCTTTATTTGTATCAATAAAGACATCGCTTACATAGCCTCAGATTCAGGGAAGAAACAGGCCCACGGTGCAGGCTTCTCTGTTCCCCTGGGGACTTGAGTTGATTCACTGAGCTCCAGAGAAGTCCAAATTTACAAGTCTAAAAGTAAAAGTCCAAATTTCCCTCCAGCCTATGCCCAATATTTGTAAATGGCTGGTCCCAATGTTCTAATAAATGATGTCTGATTGGTTTTATTTAAATGTCTTTGTCTCACTGAAACTTTTAGAATTGGATTAAATTAGACGTCTTGTGGACTCGGAAGGTGTTAATTAGTTAAGATTTATATCCCTGCAAAACCAAAAAGAGCAAAAAGGAGGATTTCTTATTGCCTTTCCCTTCCCATTGTGAAATGCTGTTTCACACTGGTTTATTTCTTCACCTTACTTTATGGTCTGACAAGGCTGCTTTGTTTTTATAACTTATCTAAGCATTCTAACAAAAATCCAAAAATATTACAGCAAAATAAAATTCAATACATTTGGTTGCATTAATTACTATTTCTAATATTTTAAGATAAAGCTATAATATAGTGTATATAGAGTATTTGATATATGGTTCTTCCTTATCCTTGTGCTCTGTTTGATTGCATCTTAGTTAAACATATGGATATTTCAACTTTGCTGACCACGCTAGTTGCTACATCTGCAAAGGTTCATGCTATAGTCATTCAGACACAGGCTTTTGGGGCCTTCTGCTTTAGCTATACTTCTGCAGCTTTGGTGTCTTAAAAATGGGTAAGCCTGGCAACAACACATAAGACTACCTTACACTGCAGAGAAGATTTTTCTAGGTTGCATGAATCCAACTTATGAGGAATGATTCAGATTTGGTCTTATTTCAATTGGAAAAGATATGACTTACAGGTAACAAAACTGAAATTTTATATGCTGTGAAACAGAATGATGGACTTCATAGTGCTTATATTATGATAGTGCCCTGGGAGAAGATTTACTCTAGCAAATGAAAACACATTTTGGAATCCTGTGTGCACTGAATCTGAATAATGAAGCAGCTATATCTTCATTCTATATTACACAATTAATGCCTGTATCAGAATTATCTGGGGAAAGGGTTATTTTGGCTTTTACATAAATATTACACAAACCCTGAAGTCCTGTTTAACAAGATATATTATTGAGTTTATTTGTGACAAGCAGGAACTTATAAGAATAATCTTGCTGCTGGTGGAATTCCTTGGTTATCAGATGCATCTCCATTAAGTTGCCTTGTGTTGTCACTGAAGCCCCTGACAGATGTAACCTGTACTTCACTAAAAATGTTCATT